GGAGGCCTTCAACGAGATGGATTGACATGGTGGCTGCGATGATGGGCTCAAATATAGCAGGGATCATGGAGCTGGCACAGGATTGGGCAGTGTTTTGTTCTGCTGTGCATGGGGTCGCTATGAGTCGGAAACGATTCAACGGCACCTAACAACAACAACACTATGGCAGGTCCTTGTCTAGGCAGTGAGGATGTAAAATAAACAAAAAGAAGTGCTTTCATTCTAGTTTTATATACACTTCTGTATTCACTCAGTATGACTGATTGATTGATGAATGTATAGAATGAATACAGCATATGCTCAGCAGACCAACAGGAATGGTACAGAATAAAAGATATTTGGATTTTGTAGCACCCACTACATCTAAAGAAGTGGTTCTGTAGTTTCCCTGGTGAAAGGCTAGAAATCTAATAAAATTCTTGGATCCCTCAGGCATTCTATACCCCTAACTCTAACGATTCCTGGATTATTTCCAGCTACCATGGGTTTTTAAAAAATACCTGGGATTATAAGAGAAACTTGTCATTGGCACAAAGTGACTAGTCTTGAAAAAGTATCACATCAGGAGGAAATTAGATAAACAAACAAACAAAAACTCACTGCTATCCAGTCAATTCGAGTCATAGTGACCCCTCCTTGGATTTCCGAGGTGGTATCTCTATCTCTCTCGGAAGGAAGGTTGGGCAATCCTACTTCAGTAGTGATACTGCCTCGGAAACCCAAGGAGGGGTCGCTATGAGCCGGGGCCGACTCGACGGCAAACAAGAACAACAACAACATCTCTATCTCTATGGAAGTAGATTGCCCAATCTTCCTTCTGAGGAGTGACTGGTGGGTTTGAACTGCCAACCATCTGGTTAGCAGTCAAATGCCTTAGGCACTTTACCACCAGAGCTCTGCTAAAAATTAATGAGAGGCTTTAGCTTTGACTGAAGAGAAAAACTGTTTTGTATTCAAGCTCAAGTTTAAGACAACTGTTTTGTATTCAAGTGAATAAACACTTAAAGGAAGATTAGTAGCAGAGATGCTGGTAGCCAGATGTGGATAAAGTAGTTTTAGGGAAAAGAAGAAGTTATCTTCTTTAAGAGAAAATTTAGGAGGCTAGAGGAAGAGGCAAATCTTAGAAACCATTAGACTTCACACTTGGAGAGGAAGGAAAGACTATGCCCACTACAGAAGGTGACATTGTTCTTGCTTCCTTTTTCTTCCTTAGCAACCAGAGATTATAAAATATTTGGTGGTACTGGGAGAAGCCTCAGGAAAGAACCAAACATGAATAGACCCACATGTGTCAGAGAGCGCAGTGATCAGAAAAGGACTAATCATGATTCTCAGGAGACTTCCAGGAGACTGGCTGCAGACAGTATGTAAAAATGGGTGTCTTTTACTTCAGGAACCACATTTCCCAGGCTTGAACTTGGTCATCAATTGTATGGAAAGTGTCTGCTCCAGAGAATGGCTCCACTGGTTCACTTCTCTATTCAAAGGCTCAATGCAGCTGCCACATCTACTGACTAGAAGGTCCCACCTATCTTATTGCTCAATTTTTTATTACAGGGTCCTTGCTATGACCCCTTTTTCAGATTTCATCTGGTTCTAATTCTTTTGCCCCTATTGACAAAGAACTGGCACCATCTTTTCTATAGCTCAGGCCTTCTGGAACTGCTTCCATCATTCCCCTTCACTCACATTGACAAATGTAAGCTTAAAAAATTCATTTTCCTCCTTAAAAACTAATATTGCTTTGTAACCCCCACAGACACATATCATTGGCAGATGTAGCCAGAGACATGCTGTTTTTGAGTCCAGATGGCTTTTCAGCAGCCCAGAGCTATGCATTCTATAAACTCCTGGGCCAAACAGATAGCATTCTGTCAATTGACAGTGATATGGAAATATCAGGATGATTCAAAGATCCTGCTCAGGAGCTAGTTTACTATTTTGTTATGTCTCCACAGACTGCATTGCTAGTTAACTCAAATCTGCTTCATCTGCAATAGGGATGGTTTCTATTGGCACATCACCACCTAGCTGAAGGAGCAATCAACATCATCAACATACATTACAATAACCAATGATGTTCCAATACTAGGCTAAATTCTGTGGACACACAAAGAAAAGTGAATCTCTGCCCTCAAGGAAGTCACAAACCAATTCTAGAAGTTCAGATTTGGGCATGTTAGCTGATACCAACATTGGTGCTTTTATCACTGGGATTAACACATCATGTAAGTGCCAGCATGGCACAGCACTGTGTAGCCGTAGTAGATGTTGTATGTCCCCAGGAAAAATGAGGTCCATACAAAGGTGAACTTAAGAGATACAAATGCTACTATGGCTCTCAGACATATTGCAAAAGGACTAAAGGTATTTGGGGTTAGAAGAGAAAGAATCATTGTAGTCAATTCTGTGTCAAAGGATTGATTTGGTAGTCTTGCAAAAACCTTCTTCTGTGACCTTGGGTCTGTTGACAATGTATGATGAAGCAGGCTTTGGAAGGGAGTTCTCAGAAGGGTACTCTAAGTAATTGATAACAGAGAAGAGATAAACAGGGAATCACTTGACTACTCAGGTGCTTACCATCTGCTCCTTCACTACTTTTGCTTCTTTTATTGCGGCGAACATTCCTACTTTTCTCTTCAGAATATGACTTTTCTTCAGGGAAGAAGAAATTCAGCAGGGCAATCTGTAAAAATAATAAGTACATGAGTCAAAGGTTGATCCCAGTCAGTCATAACCAAAATAAAAAACTAGCTTGCTGTAGAAAGTCTATCTTCACCTTAAATTCAATGTGTCTAAAGTCTGAGCAAGGAGCCCTCATGATGCAGCGGTTATGTAGCTCAGCTTCTAATGGGAAGGTCAGTGTATGGGAGAAGATGTGGCAGTCTGCTTCTGTAAAGATTTACAGCCTTGGAAACCCTATGGGGCAGTCTTACTTTGCCCTATAGGGTCACATGTGTTGGAATCATGCGACAGCAATGAATTTTTTTTTTTAATTGAAAGTCTGATCTTATCTTTTCCACAATTGTGTAAATCCTTTTATTTTTGATATCATTATTATTCCAATGATACAGGCATAAAATCTTGGTTCAACTTTGAATTCCCTCTCATCTACTCTGAATATTTAGAGTCATCCTTTAAATCCCACTTCTCCATTTATTTTTGGTGTTCAAAGAGCCTAGCTCCTGATTTCTAGCTTCCTTCATAGCCAAATGATGTCCACCCAGAATTATAATTGAGTTTGCTTCTCCCACTTGGACTTCATTATTATACACCCATGCTTTTGCCACATTCCTTTTTATGCTGAACTTTTGGTTTGTTCCCAGAATTTGTGTATCCAATACTGGGGTACAATTTATGTCAAATATCTTCTGGGAGTTAGTTGTGATAGTTGAAGATGTGTCAACTTGGCTGGACTCCAGTTGTGAGTGGTGGTTCCCATGATGGATCACATGACTGAGTTCTAAGCGGCCGGTCTGCCCAAGGGGAGTTTCCCCAGGGGTGTGGCCTACCTGC